TCACAATTAAAAGAACCAACGACTTAAACTACTTCAGTCTGTGTGGAATTTATTTAATACACGAGTCTCACAATTGGAGTTGAATTACTGAAATAAAAACTTTTCCACGACATTCTAATTTATTGAGATGCACCTGTATACAACAATGGCGAAGTACATGGTACTGTTGTTGCTGCTCAAGAGTTTGCTAACGCTTCTTCAGCAAAGTGTGGATTTACTTATCAATATTACAATCAACAGCAGAGACACATCATAAACAACATATAATCGTCACTTCCCTACAGGTACTGTTTACAAACAAGGTGACAGTGCCAATTACTGGCCTGGCATACGTAATACAGCGTTTTTGGCTGTTTTCGCGGGTATGTGTAAATGCGATACGCTTAAAAAATACACGTTATCGTGTATACGTGAAACTTTTTAAAAATGCAAGGGAAAAACTTTTCCATTTTTGACTACATCATTGTCATTTAAACATAGCCTTATGGTGTTGAAGATTTACATTGACCTATTGTTTATTTGTTTTGGTGGTTGTAAGTCTGTCAAGCCAAGAATGTTGCATTGGATGAGAAATACTATTTTGAAGGCATATGAGGCATGTGGGGTACTTTTGAGTGCACTCTACAAGAGGTTTTAGCTAGAGGAGTGTCTTTGGAAGATATTTGTGTCACAGCAGGTTGGGCCTCTCTTCACACTTTTAGCAGGTTTTATAGTCTTGATATTGACTTGTTTACTCACAGGGTAATAAATTGCAGATCACTTCGTTGTATGGCATTGTGTTATAGTGTTTGCATAGCGTCAGACTGACACAGTGTTGAGTAAACCAACTCAAGGAACCAAAGTTACACAAATAAACGAAATGCTCTCAATGATATTACAAATTTTATGTATGTCACATTAAGTTATTTATATATAAGCGTTTGCCATTGAAGAAAAAAAACATACGTTGAGAACTATCCATAGCATTTAACTTTACTCACCTTGTAATGTCTTCCATTAACTGGGAGGGGTCTGGTGGATAAAACTTGACAGCAAAATTAAAATGCCAAGAAGACGCTGTAAACACATACAAAGTGAGAAAAAACAACAACATGCTTGCAGAGTGGTTGACTGATAAACTGTGAACTTTTTCTCATGGTTGGATAGCATTTAAGTGCCTGCAGCACATAAAAGTTAAGGTCAGAGCAAGTGTGCCTCTTCAATGGGCCTGAGTTACTGAACTGATCAGTACTGAACAAAACAGGGCTGTAAACATGGGCTAATTGTTTGAGTGAATCTGATTTGTGTGATTTCTCAAAATCAAATTTAGAAAGGTCTTTGTAGCCAGATAACACCTGTGCGGTTATAGTTTAATATATTATATAATCAAAATAACTATTTAAAAACAATATGGTGGCAACGATATGGCATTTTGGTGCTGTATGATTAAATTAAAATCAGTTTTTATGTATCTTAATTGTTTTGCAGTATAACTTTAGAGTTATGTAAATTCAGTTGGGTTAAATGTATTCTACATACCAGGGAATAATTAGTCATATTTATTTAAAATAAATGATGTAAATATTTAAGTTTTCTTTTTTTTTTTTTTTGCTAAATGTCTAGGTTACTGAGTTCCCTAAGTGGGAACAAAATGCTATATAATGACACAATGGAAATGTGTCAGTGGTCACAAGGTCTGAGCACTGAATAATCACGTCAGTTTTTTGGCTGATGGTGCTAATACTTTAGCAGAGACATAAAGGTAATAAGGAGCTGCATCATAGAGCTCTTATAAGAACGTGTTTTGCACCATAACCATTCTGCAAGGTGAACAAACTAGGGATGCACCGATACTACTTTTTCCAGTACTCGCCCGATACCGATACTTTTATTTTTGGTACTTGCCGATACCGAGTACCGATACCGGTATTTTTATTGCATTTGTAAATTTTTTAAATATTGGGTATAGAAACCAAAAGGGTATGTATAATGTTAGTTGGTTAACTTCATTTATCAAATAGATACAGTCAAACCAAAATTTATTCAGACACCTTCAACATTTTTCACATTATCACAGTTTATTCGCTATAGTTTAGAAAATGGTAATAAAATATGACAAGAACTCAAGAGTTACACTGTGTCAGAACAAATTCATCTTGATAATGTTAGATAATTTTGATAGAAAGGTATGTAATAGATTACAATCAACCAAAATAATTCAGACAGTGAACTATGAATACTTAGTCGGGCAACCCTTAGCCTTAATGACAGCCTGTAGTCTCCTGGGCATGCTGTCACCCAGCTTCATGAAAACCTCAACTTCAGTTTTTTTCCCAGACTCGGTCTGAACAATTTTTGGACCCAAATTTGTATCAGTTTTACTGGTAGTGCACTGTATGAAGAATTTTTGGGTATGATTTGTCACAGTTTACTTTATTTTGCTATCCTCACTTACATAAATTAACTATAGTGTCCTGCACCCACTAGTAGAAAAATATCAAGAATTATATCTGGTCTCTGAAAATTTTTTGGTTTCACTGTATATCCTTCGGTTATTTTCACACTTAATTATGCCCATTAAAATGTAAAAAGGTTTTGTCACTTTCATTGCAGCGGCTTAGTACTGTAATCACGCACTTTGCTGTAATAATGCAGGGAACCACTCGCTATAAATCTCCTAACTGTGATATTTTCAGAAATAGAAGTTGCGTTTTTTCATCTGAAACATGCTGCGGTTTATATTCCAAAGCCACTCATATAATGCAGAAACACTCATGAAGCAAACAAAACACGTGCAACGCGTGCACGTATTTGTACTGATGCAGAATGAGAGGACAGTAGTACAG